TATCCCACATACACCACCACGCCAAATACATCGAACGAGCTGAGGCCATCTATGCCGTGGGACTACTCCATTTGGCAGCCATTTTCTACTTCCCATCCTCTACATACCGTTCCAAACAATGGCGCACACGTTTTCTACAGCTCCGGATCCACCCAGACCATTGCCCCCAACTCAGTCTACTACGTCAAGCTCTACTTCAATTCCCACGACACACAACGATGCTACCACCAACATGGCCACTGCTATGTGGGCTCCACCGCAATCGGCATGCCTCGCCGGCAACACAACCGCAGAGCCAAATTAAAGCAACTAGCCAAGAACACCCCCATTTCAGCAGAACTCTCCCTTCGCTACTGGCATGCAACCAACCATCACCCAGTTCTCCACCATCCACATTGCTACATACCCGGATTATGACCAAGCGTGGATTCACGAACGCCTGTACATCTCCCGATGGCAACCTACACTCAATTGGCCCTACATCTCACAGCACTTGAAGCTCAAAGCAGACGGCTGGCAATTCAGCAGACACAGGCTCACTTCTTTCCACGCCTAGCCAACCACTACCGCCTCTTTCGGCGACTACGACGACGTCTACATTCCACTGACCAACCTATACTTCACACCTCACACAAACTACATGCATTCACAGTCCTACGGGACCTCACCAAAGACACACACATCCTTCGACGCCGCCCGACATCTACGTTAGTTCAGGCAAGTACACAGACCTTGAAGTCTACGCCATTCGTCGCATGGCCACCAGCCTCGAAGAACCAGGACGCAGTCGAGCTCTTCACCTCCTCAACCAAGCCTTGAAGTATCGCAATCTCACACCACCGAAGAGCAACCTTCCCTTGACCATTCCCTTCCTAGCCCACCAGCTTCCAATCCGACCTTCAACGCTGGCTCGCCCAGCTCCTCAACCATCACAAACAGTTTGCCATTCCCCTCCACCTCCCCACATGCCGAGTACGTGAAGCAGCCCACCCCACACTATGCAGTCGCCTGCGCAACCACCGGCGATGGGAAACACTGTTAGGCAGCCCCCCTGACATCGATCAGCTTCCTTGCGGGTGTGATCGTCTACGCAGCCTCCTTCTACCCGCTTACCATGACACTATTGGGGACCATTTGATTGTCACCCTCGCCGATTTACAACTTCCAGCACATTCTTTCCGACCAGCAACGCTACTTCGACTCTGTTCGGCGAAACCTCATCAAATGGCTTCGACATCATGGACTCCCGACTACTCTATCCCATCACGCCGACTCTTTTCTCACCATTCAGTGGAACCACCACAATCTCCAACTTCACCACAAGGATCGCTTCACCGCCAGATCAGTCAAACAGTTGCAAGAATTCTTGGGCGACAAAGGTATCCTCCGTCATGCCGATCATGAACTACAACATCTCAGGATCTTTTGCCCCCACATCTACTTCCGTGGTTGTTTAGCCACGTGGCAATCACCAGAACTCTTCCAACCATTGCCAGATGATACAGACCAGACCATCTCTAACATCATCCAACACACGTACCCCGCACACCTTCGCCAAAAATACAAATGGGGCTTCAACACCAAGTTCAAGATGCCATATGGAGTTGTCCACTTGAAAGCCAAGAAACAATGGCGCAAAGGTCGCACCATCATCTCCTACTTCAAATCCTACTATGGCCCACTCTTACGCGTCACATCCAACATCCTCAATACCATGATCTGTCACCTTCTACCTCAATCACCAGGACAACTTTCCATTCCTCAACTTTGACACCATTTCCACGACTACCTTCAGAACACACCAGTTTCCGTGGATCTCTACGCAGTCAACGACGATTTGGTCGGCTTTTTCAACTCCGTCCCCCAAGACCGCCTGATCCAAGCCGTCCACACCCTGGTCAACCGCTGGCAACACACTTTTGACACCCCAACCCTGACGGTGGACACATATACAACCGGAGACCCAATCCAGCTCGCCCACATTGGCCGTCATCACCGCAAACATCCCACACAACGGACACTGCACACTAGCGACATCACCACGATTGTAGCCTTAGCACTTGACTCATGCATTTTCAAGGCACGCAACTCATATTTCCTGCAGGTCCGAGGAGCCGGGATTGGCTCTCAGCTCTCACCCTCATCGAACACTCCTGGCATCAACTCCACCACTCCTTGACAGACCACACCGAGATCCATTCCGTCTACTACAGGTACGTGGACAATCGCTTCATCGCGTTCAACCGCACATTCCTCAAGCACCTCGCCATCCGGACCGTGATCCACCCGGACTTCTATGGCAACCCAGTGGACAGTGGAACTGGCACCCGTGGAAGACATGCACTTACTGGGCTTCGATGTTGACTTACATCAAGGGACTATCTCCTATATCCCACCTGATGCTCCCTGGAAGATGCGCGATTATGCCTCAGCTGGCTCCACCCGACTACGACTATCAGGTCTACATTCCGGAGCCCACCTCATCCGCAAGCACACCTACCCGTCCTCGGCTGTTGAGCGAGCGCTCACTCAACTAGCAGACCTATACGTCCAAAAAGGACATGATCTTCGCAGCTGTCGTCAAGCCGTGCAAAAAGCTTTCGTCTTAGCTGCTCTCACTTCCCCGCGGGTTCCCCATGCAGAGTGCGCCGTCCCCGGCCCTCTGTGTGTGTGTGTCAACACCTGTTTCCAAGGTTCTCATAACTAATTTTTGAGAAGGATCGCTGGACTAATTTACGCCGCTGTTCCACTCAGTTCCAGTTTCACGCAGCAGGGGGCAGCGGCAGGACCGCTACCAACGAAGACGCCCATTTGATCTGGTGATATCGGAGTTGGCCACTCCGACGTACCTGCACCAATTTTTAAATTGACTCGTTGCCGAAACCCATGCAACCATTGTTTCACCCGTGTTAAACCATACAGTTGCAGCCGACCCATTCACCATTCCGTTTGCAAGTCAAGGTCTACAATGCATCGGGAAATGTATTCGTCTAAAGTGGGACTTCGTACTGATACTAGCTCTTGCGAGCAACCATCTAAGTGTGTTAACACCTGTTTCCAAGGTTTGTACCTGGTAAGTATGCCTGCCGTAGGTTTTACTAGGAGGCTGGACGCTACTAGTAGCTCCTGGCCTCGCTACTAGGAACCAAACTACAACTAAAACAGCGCGAGCAAAAAGAGGCAGGGGGTCGCTGGGGATTCGCGCAGTCAGCGACCAACGAAGACGCTGCACGTTTCCTGTGATATGAGTCGAGGACGCTCGACTCACGTACCTGCATTTTTCCAAACTGTTCACAAGCTGTCCAATGCGTTGTTTCCTGCAGTAAACGGCTAATGCATTTCCAAACTTTGTTAAACATCTACAAGTTCGCCGACTCCACCACCTTTCGGTTTGCGCTTCGTTCTGTTCATCAAGTCAAGGGGGACTTCACTCTGATCCTAGCTCTTGCGAGCAACCATCTAAGTGTGTATCGCCACAGAGTTTGACTGAGGGCTGTGGTGTGATCCCCATCGAGGGGCGCTGCGTGCGCATAGACCCAGATCCTGGGGGAACCACCCTAAACGCACCGTTTTTGCGAACTTGGACTTCTCTTGAATCCCCTGATCCGCCGTTCTGCTTGATACCACTGATTACGACCCAGTCAGGATTTGCACATGCGTCTAAGTATTCACCTGTACAGTTCCCACGGCTATAGGCAGCCACAGACTGCTTTTCAGTTGCATGTGCTTGTCATGCTCTTGAGTTCTTTCTCTCTCTTTCTGTTGCTTTTCGTTTCTTGAGGCCTTTCTTTAGGTTTCAGGCCTTTCAGACAATGGGTTGCGCCGGCCCAAATCGGCTTTACTTGAATGCCACTGATGGCAATGCCTTCGGGCCCCTCCCTGCCCCTGGCCTCAGTTGCTATCCCACCCGCTATTTAGGGTAACAGAAGGAAAACCGCACTCAACACACTTGTGTGTTGGTGCCTTTCCTTCTGTTTCTCCTGTCCTACTCCTAGCTACCCGGGCGGTTTAAGACAAAAGTCCTGCTCGCTAACGATTTTCATTTAACTAAGTGGGCCTCGTCACTATACCTATCTTTCTTTCTTGCCCTCTTCGTGTGCTTTTGTTTTGTTTTCTTTGTCTGTCTTTCTAAGGCTTTTGAGGTGATTAGTAATTTTCCGGAGCGCCGATATCGGCGTTATGTGTACAAAGCTGCTGCAGGGGTACAGAGCGCCGATTGCGGCATAGTGTGTGTGTGTGTTAACACCTGTTTCCAAGGTTTGTACCTGGTAAGTATGCCTGCCGTAGGTTTTACTAGGAGGCTCGATGCTACTAGTAGCTCCTGGCCTCGCTACTAGGAACCAAACTACAACTAAAACAGCGCGAGCAAAAAAGAGGCAGGGGGTCGCTGGGGATTCGTGCAGTCAGCGACCAACGAAGACGCTGCACGTTTCCTGTGATATGAGTCGAGGACGCTCGACTCACGTACCTGCATTTTTCCAAACTGTTCACAAGCTGTCCAGCGTTGTTTCCTGCAGTAAACGGCTAATGCATTTCCAAACTTTGTTAAACATCTACAAGTTCGCCGACTCCACCACCTTTCGGTTTGCGCTTCGTTCTGTTCATCAAGTCAAGGGGGACTTCACTCTGATCCTAGCTCTTGCGAGCAACCATCTAAGTGTTGGTGGAATAAAAGACTTTCAAGAACATACTTGGGAATAAGCAAAGTTTAGCAGAACTCTCACAGTTACTACAAAAAGAGCGACTTGTTTAGACTAGGAAGAGCGTTTTGAAGAGAAGAGGAACAAATGCATTTCTTTGGTTCCAAATAAGCATACTTGGGAGGGCATGGCACCGCATCAAGAAGAGGGAAATTGATTTGAGCCGTAGTATATGACATCTATATAGCTTGAACATCCTTGTTGAGCCTCGTCGATATTGTTAAACCGTGGATGCAACAGCCCGCAGACTTCTAGGACGTTTCACCAAGCTAACCCGGAAACTTCCAACGACAGACAGTCCGGTGAGAAGGTGCACATGACGTTCAAGGTGTCCGTGCTGAACAGTTTCACCTCGCAGGAACATCGTGGTGGAACAAGAGCAAAAACAAAAGCAAACTGGTTCAGGCTCAAGAAGCTGAAACCACACACTTGGCAACAGGCAGGCTTTGACAGCTGCATCGGTTGCCTCAAGTCCCAGACCTGCAAACCCACATTTGATGCACAAGCACTATATAGTCACTAGTCCACCGGTCAAAAATATTAGTCCAACCTCTCTCAGAGACTTCTTTCATGGCAAAAGGACAGCTTCCAAGACCTTGCAAGTGTGGTCGAAGGACGCCGTGGCGAACAGGTGAGGTGACCTGAATGGGAAGCGACGGTGACTTAATCATTCCCTCACAGGGTTCCGCACCTGTGTGAGAATCGGAGGATATTGATGAAGTTTTGGTGCATCCCCCGGAACCTCATTGACACGCCACAAGAATGTGAATGTTTTGGTAGTGGAAAAGCATGTGCCTTGAACTTGGCGTTCCAAGAAAAAATGCCTGCATGCCTTCTGCCACACAACCAAATATAAAACAACGAAAACATACACTGCCGAAAACTAACATAGACCCTGACAATGGCCCCCTGGAAGATTGTTTTCCTCTATATACCAACCAGTGGTTTTCAGGGTCCATGTTAGTCTTCCAGGGTATAGAGTTTTGTCCTCGCCTGGATGATGAAATGCCAGCCACAATGCGCAGGCTGCCAAAAATTGTTACGTTTCTATGGGGCAAAATCCCGCCAGGCAGTGGAATAAATTGTGGGGGGAAGGACACAACTGATGTGGACATGACTGGGCTCTAGTGACTCCAGTGGCAACAGGGGCAAGAGGATCAATAAAGACTTGTTATCAGGATGTAACAATTGCAGGTAAGCGGATTCACAACGCTTTCTAGGGGAAACAAAGCGCGGCTGCTCACGCGCATTTTTTGAGCAGACTCAAGGGCCCTGCAGGTCAAGGGCAGGTCAGGTCATGAACGCTACCGCTCTTGCATTGCTCTATATTTAAAAGAGCCGAGCAACTCCTTGCGAGTGCTCACAGCGAGCGGTGTGAACCACTAGCCAGCTCTCAGTGTCGGCTGCATCAGCTGCGGCCGCCTTCTCTCCGGTTCGGTGCTCATGAGGGCCAGGTGGTTCTCATTGAGCAGCTGCCGCAATTCATGTTGCGGTTTCACCTTAGTCAGGTGATCTGCCATCTGAACATCCGTGGGCACCCAGCGGTATAGATGTCCTTCATCCTCTCGCCACTGGGTTCGAGCTCCACTGAAGCTTCTCGAAGAGCTCCAATGTCCAGCGTCAAGCGCTTCTCCTGTGCGCTGCTCAGCGGTCCGTCCTTGATCAACAGGTCATAGAGGGAGCGGCAATCCGTTGCCATGGAAGTTGGAAAAGCCCTCGATCAGCAACTCGGCCAAAAGCTCCCTTGTAAACAAAGCGGCATCTGCCGCTGCATCAAGTGCCATCGTCTCAGCTGCCAAAGTGCTCCTGCAGCGTCGGCGGATTCGATGGCTCCGCCATTCCACCAAGTTGGCGACGTCGCCCTCCGGGGTGTAGACCTTGTTGCCGGTGATGAAGACCATGTAGCCGGCTTGCGATTGAGATCCTCCGCGTTGGCCCATGAGGCGTCTGAGAACGCCACGATCCGTGCCCGTTCCATCTGAGTCGGCACGAATCTCATCTTCCAGCTCTGGGACTTGAGGGCCTCCTTCAAGAGCTTGTTCACCTCCATGAGGTTGGTCACGGTTGGAGAGCCACTCATCCACAAAGATGTCCCGGCGGCCAGGTCAGGTCTGGTTTGACCTGTCAGCCAATGCAAACATCCACCTCCAGACTTCAGTTCTGTGACCTCGGCTGGGGTCAGAGCTGAGTCCTTCATCAAAGTTCTCCAGCGCGGCACCGGGGTTAAGGTCAAGGCGCGAAAGAAGGACTCCTGGGAGATGGTGACAACGTCGTCCTTCGCAATCTCCTTGCCTCCGTAGACCAGTTGACCTTCTTTTCGAGAGTCGTGCCAGTCGCCAAAGTCGAACTCGGCTCGGACGCGGTCCAAAACGGCATCCGCAGTTTCGGGTTGTCCAGTACAGATGAGGTCGTCGACGTGGGCGCCGATGGCGAGGATCAAGCGTCCATTCTGGTATAGTAGGCGAACAATGCCTTATCCAGCGTCGACTGCACAAAGCCCAGTCGGATTATATAGTGAATCTCGAAGGAAGCGCCAGAACAGCCTGGGGCTGTTGGCCAAACCAAAGATGCGACGCACCACCAGTAGAAGTTGTCCTGGTTGTAGGTCTGGCAAACCTTCCTTCGGCTGGCGGATGAACAGAGGTTCTTGGCGCTGAGCTATAGTGCTTGGTCGCCTTGAAGAAAAGCGCCAGTCACATCTGCGGTCACGATGAACCAGTCTTGGTGCGAAGCTGCCAGCTGCAGGATCAGCATCAACCCAAGGCGGGTTAATGTCGGAGCATCCCGGCGTAACTCCAGCAAGTCGGGGTCTGTGTCTCCTCGACATACTATCCGGGCCTTCGGCTTGATCTCCAGCGCGCTTGTCCCTGTAGCACACTCGAGCTGCCAGGATGCGAGATGGGTCGAAGAGCTTCTCGACCTCGCGGCTGCATTCCAGACTCAAGATCTTCACCGCCTCATACTTCTTCCATGTTGTCCACTCCTTCACCAGTGCTTGGCGGTATAGTTCTCGATGTTCGAGCGGTATCGCGCTCCAAGGCAGTTCCTTCTCCAAGGCCTTCTTGTCCTTGCGGGACATGGTCTGAGGGTTCTGCCATGACGCCACGGCCTGTAGCACGTTCTTGGAGTCGATCACCATGAAGACGGTGTAGCCGGTCCATTTCTTGTCCATGTTGACGTTCCTTTGGGAGGTCACCCATGTGTCGTGGATCACCTTGCGGCCCTCCGGGAGAAAGAGCACGGTAGTTCTCTGCCGTGAAATAGTGTCCAAAGGCACCGGAAGATCTTGTCCTCGACCAGGATCATATAGAGCTCTGCGACGTTGGACAGGACTTCGTAGGCCAACCTGCTGGCAATGTTGACGCCAGATGGTTCCAGTCTCGGAGTCGCCATAGGCTCCTCTTGTGGTGGCGGAGTTGCTGCAGACCCTGTTGATACTTGTTCAAGTCGTGGTTTCTTCGACTCCTGGCCTTCGATGCGCCAGAGATGATCAACAGGTGTGCCAGGTGCTCTTGTGAGCCCATGCGGTGAAGTTGCCGGCAGCGTTGTCAAATCAGTGCCGTGCGAGGGGGTTTCAGGTTGTTCAGCAGCTTCTGGGCGTAGTGAGGGCGTGTACTCCACATCATCCATGAGCCCATCCATGTCGAAGAGCGGCGCCCGATCGATGTCCTCCTCGTCCAACTCATCATCTTCTGGCACGGGTGGAAGTTCTTCAGGAGGTAGTGTCCCCGTGCGAGCATCTTCATGATCGTCAGGAGGATGGTCCTGAATCTCCTGGAGGATGTGCTCACGCACTGGCCAAAGTTCAGTGCCAAAAGCCGGCCTAATTTGTTCTCTCGAGACCAGGATGCACTGGCCATTTGATGTCACCCAGTAGTTGTTTTGCTTGGTGCTGCTGTCACCCTTGCGCGGCCCAGTGACGATGCCGCGGTACCAAGATGCTGGTACTCTTCTGCCTTTCTGGCCTTTCCGGCCTTGTCGATATTTGGCTTCGCGCCAAAATGCCACCAACTCTCCATGTAGCTCTCCCGAATGGGATGTGCTTTTCGAAGAATTGCTGTTCTCACAGCTTCGTTGAGCCTGTAGGCGGATAGCTTCTCGTCAGCTTGTGCCCGAATGATGGCCCGCTTCCTCAGCTCATCGTCCAACTCCATCGCCTGCAAGGCCTCAAACTTGCCATCGGGCGAGAGCACGTCCTCCGGAATCTCGGGGTTCCGGCCGAAGACCCATTGATAGGCCGAACATCCAGATGAGCGTACCTTATCGTTGAGGGCAGCGGCTACTGCACAAGCCAAAGTTTTCATGTCTCTGTCACCTTCCAAGGCCATCTCATCGACCAGCTTCTTGCCGACTTCCTTGAAGGCTCTGTTGTAGGCTTCGACTTCTGAATCTCCAGCCTGCCAATGAGCTTCTGCCGGTGGGTTGTCCACGATGGTGCCCATAGAGCGAATGCGCTCCAAGAACTCGGCCTGGGAGCCGCCATCCTTGTCCACCCACAGGTACTTCGGGTAGCCAGCCCATGAGGCCCACAGCAAAGTGAACAGGTCCCAAACTGCGCCAGGTTCTCGTGTCGGCGACGGGTAGAAGACGTTGAAGGACCCGTTGGGCTCAAGGATGTGCAGAAACTGGTGCTGGTTCCCTTGGATGTCGGGGAGGTGCACAAAGTCCATGCATAGTTTGGAGTTGAAGGCGCCGATGACCTTGAAGGAGGTAGGTCTCGGAATCTTAGGTCGTCTCGACCTTTCACAAACCGCACATTTTAAACGGCGGCTCAACTCAATCGCCTCCGTCTCCACATTGCCTTCCTGCACCAGAGCTCGAGTCAGATCTGGTTGTGAAGGATGTCCCAAATTCTTGCGCAACTTCACGATGGCGGGCGCAAACCTCTTTTGCTTCACGGTCAGCGGAGGTCCGGTGAACCACTGCTCTTGGGCATAGGTCTGCTTGGTGATGATCCGGTCCTCGTAGGCCGCTGCTTCACCATCCGGTAGTAGTTGCAACAGTTCTGGGGGTGCCTCCAGGTATTGGCGTTCACCTTCTCGCTGAGGTGTCGGATCTGCAGGGTCGCCTGGCGCATAGCCTGTCACGAAGATGGCCACTCTGACCGGAGTCACGAATCTCTCTCTTGGGGCCTGTGCCGTTTTGAAGTACTCGGTCTCGATGGTGATGGTGTCATCATTGCGCAACAAAATGGATGCACGGTGGCAATCTTCCAGTCCTGTCCGGACTCGCTTGGCTTTGGGCAGGTGAGCCAACTGTATGTTCATCACCTGCCAGGGCACCAGCTTACCTCCTCCGCCTCAGACAGAAGCGGTTTCCACTCGGACTCTTGGCGGTTCACGTCCACGTACCAGGCCGTGTTCGTGTTGTAGGACTCGTTGACCGTCATAGTCCCGTAGTCCTCCTGCTCCACGATGCGCCAAAAAGCTCTACAGATGGCGTCGCCCAAGTCAGGTGGATAGCAGGCAGAGGCTGCTGTGTTTGACCCGGCAACCTTCTCGTGTTGATGAGCTCGGTCGCACTGAAGATCCAGCTCCTCCACAAAGATGGGATCTGTAGCCACGAAGCGGACCCGCTTCTGCATAGGGAGGCCATTCTTTCCTGTGAGGCCAAACATGCAGAGGCATGCTGTGGTCTCATACCACTTGGATCTCAGCCTCATGATCTCCGGCTGGGTCTGCGATTGAGCTGTTGCTGGGTTCTCTGCTAAGGCGTGTCCTTGTTGTCGAGTCTGGCTGTTGA